GGTGCATTCTTTACCGCTGCACCACCTGGGAAGCCCCTGCACCCTGGTTTTCATGTTTTTAGGCCACATAAGCCCACTAACAGCTTGTGGTGAAAAGGCATCGCCATCTGCACCTTTTGGTCAGTTCAGTTCAGTCACTCAGCCATGTCCGACTCTTTTTGACCCCATGGACTGCAGCATGCCAGGCCTCCCTGTCCATCACCAACTCCCGGAGTTTACCCAAACTCATGTCCATTGAGTTGGTGATGCCATCCAACCATCTCATCCTCTGTCGTCCCCTTCTCCTCCCACCCTCAATCTTTCCCAGCATCTGGGTCTTTTCACATGAGTCAGTTCTTCACATCAGGTGGCCTAAGTATTGGAGTTTCAGCTTCAGCATCAGTCCTTCTAATGAATATTCAGGACTGATTTCCTTTAGGATGAACTGGTTGGATCTCCTTGCTGTCCAAGGGACTCTCAAGAGTCTTCTCCAAGACCACAGCTCAAAAACATCAATTCTTTGGCACTTAGCTTTCTTTATAGTCCAACTCTCACATTCTTACATGACTACTGGAAAAACCATAGCCTTGACTAGATGGACCTTTGTTGGCAAAGTAATTTCTCTGCTTTTTAATATGCTGTCTAGATTGGTCATAACTTTACTTTCAAGGAGTAAGCATCTTTTATTCCATGGCTGCAGTCACCATCTGCAGTGATTTTGGAGGCCAAAATTATAAAGTCATCCACTGTTTCCACTGTTTCCCTATCTATTTGCCATGAAGTGATGGGACCAGATGCCATGATCTTAGTTTTCTGAATGTTGAGCTTTAAGCCAACTTTTTCACTCTCCTCTTTCACTTTCATCAAGACACTCTTAGTTCTTCTTTGCTTTCTGCCCTAAGGGTGGTGTCATCTGCATATCTGTAGTTATTAATATTTCTCCTGGCAGTCTTTATTCCAGCTTGTGCTTCATCCAGCCCAGCATTTCATGCAGTGTACTCTGCATATAAGTTAAATAAGCAAGGTGACAAAATACAGCCTTGACGAACTCCTTTCCCAATTTGGAAACAGTCTGTTGTTCCATGTCCACTTCTAACTGTTGCTTCTTGACCCGCATTCAGATTTCTTAGAAGGCAGGTCAGGTGGTCTGGTATTCCCATCTCTTGAAGAATTTTCGACAGTTTGTTGTGACCATACAGTCAAAGGCTTTAATGTAGTCAATAAAGCAGAAATAGATGTTTTTCTGGAGCTTTTGCTTTTTCGATGATCCACCGGATGTTGGCAATTTGATCTCTGGTTCCTTTGCCTTTTCTAGATCCAGCTTGAACATTTGGAAGTTCATGGTTCATGTACTGTTGAAGCCTGGCTTGGAGAATTTTGAGCATTACTTTGCTAGGGTATGAGATGAGTGCAGTTTTGCAGTACTTTGAACATTCTTTGGCATTTCTTTTCTGGGGGAATAGAATGAAAATTTGACTGTTTCCAGTCCTGTGGCCACAGGACTTTTGGTCAGAACCTCACTAATCCTGCGGGGAAATTTGATCTGAACCAGACTGCATTCAACCTGCTGGAAAATTGCCAGCTTTGTTCTGGGATGGACTCCACCCTTAAAAAAAAAAAAATCCTGTAAGCAGTAGGCACATTTGAAAATTCAGACGTTCGAATACACTCTAGGTATGAGGGAACACCAACACGTTATCATTCATCTTATTAGAGGTTCAATAGGAAAATGTTCTTAGTGTTTTAGAAGTACACCCTGAAGTGTTTAGGGACTAAAACATCATGATAACTATAATTTACTTTAAGACAGCTTAGCAAGAAGGTGAAAATGATAAAATATGGAAAAGAGTTAAGACTTTATTAGATAAAGGGTCATGAGGGTTCATTATACCACCCTGCGCTCTACTTTCTGCCATAATTTGAAACCTTCATAGTAAAAAATGAAATGACAGTCCCAGGAAAGACAGATATTCTGAGATCTTTGCAGCCTCACCGCATCCTGCTGAGTCATGTGTGGCCACTCAAGGTGTCTAAACCCCCAGAATGAGATTGAGATCTGAGGACAGAGTGTCCAGGTAGAGAGTCGTGTGACCATCTTCTTTCTGCTACAACCAACAGGCAGTTGCAAGTTCTGTGAACTGCATCTTGACTAGGAGGTGTCTTGGGGTTTAAAGGACCCATAGATTTTTCTTCTGTAAATTGAAGAGAATCTTCAGAATTGAAGGCAGTTCTCACTTGCTCATCAGCCGATGACCTGGGACCCTGCTGAGCTGCCTCCAGGTCCTGAGACCTTGGACAATTTCTCTACCCTTCCCGAGCCTCCACTGTGCTGGAAATATGCGGCGCTGGGAAAGCGCTGAGCACAGAGCATGCATGAAGACTCCACAGATATCCGTCTCTCGTTCTGAATGGCTCAGTAGAAATTGCTCGGCTGTGAAACTCAACTTGCTGCCATGTTGGGTTTTATCAGGAGCTGGCTGGGGTTTCCCGGGACTGGCGAGCTCGAGGAATCTGTGCATGGCAAGGATGTGGGGTTCCTCCAGGTGGTAACCTTTCTGCCAAGCCCCTGTTGGCCCTGGGACCTGGGCCAGCAGGAGCCCTAGTGAAAACAGGCAGATTCGACTCTTGCCTGGGATCCTCTGACCTTCACTTGGGGGTCCTCCCGTCCTCCCCTCCCAGGACCATGTAGCCCAGCACAGCTCCACAAGCCGCACGGGGAGCCATCCCCACCATCTCCTTGGTGCTCAGAGTGTTTTGAGCATCCTTCCTCTGAAAAAGGAGGAATCCCCATGAGTCCTTCTGGGACTGCTGAGCCCCTTTCTTACCTTCCTGCTGCAAAGCCTTTCAAACTGTCCTTGAGGGTTTCTTGTGCAGATTAAAAACCAGACCTGAGTAGCTCCATTCAGCATTAACCTGGCATATTAATCACCTTCCCAAGGAGGACCATCTAATTGCTTATGATGGGTTGAAACTTGGAGGCTGGGGAGCAGACCCAGGCATCAGACGGGTGAGCGGAGCCTGAGTAACTGAGCTTGGGGCAAGGACCTGCGGTTCTCCTGGCCCGATGCCTTCACTGCCCCCACTGCAGGAGATTCCAGCCCCAACCTGGGACCGTGCTGGTGATCAAGTTGGACGGCCAGCCAGTGTTGGAGCGCCATTCCCCTCTGGAGAAACATCCCGCTGAGGCACTACATCAGAGGGTGGCCCTGGGAGAAAGGACCTTGCTGTGACCTTGAAGCGGCCCCTGGGGAGCAGCAGATGCTCTGTGTTCCTTCCTCCCTGCTGGTACCCAGAGGAGGGTTGCAGATGAAATACAGGGCACCCCGTAAAATCTGAATTTCAGATAAACAGTAAATAATTTCCAAGTCTAAGTGAGTCTCAAATATTACATGGAAAGGTTTTATTGTATAGCCATACTTGAATACCGAAAAATTATTGAGTCATGAATTATTGACTATGGAGTTATGAATACTGAAAAATTCATTGTTTTATCTGAAATTCAGATTTCACTGGGCATCGTGTCTTTTTATTTGCTAAACCTGGCAGCACATAAGAATCTCCCTGCTGTGCTTGGGTTCTTGGCAGGGCCTTGTGGGGACAAGGCTTGTCCTCAGGTGTCTCTGAGCGTGTGGGCACCTTCTGCAGACTTCCAGAGCCCCAGGCTGGCTGGGGCGGTTGGAGAGGGGGCGATGAGTGTCCTGCTCTGGGTGTGGGACCTCATGGGCGAGGAGCCCAGCCTTGCTCTGGGCCACAGTTTCCTCATTTATCATGTGAGACTCATCAGAGAGTGCGTCTCGTGTCCCTGTGAGGATGAGTAACCCTGTTCCTCCCGTCTCCTCGCTCTGCTGTGCCCTGTTAGCCCCACCCAGCCTCCAGTCTGGAAGAAGCGTCGCTTCCTCAAAGAAGGATGTCCCCCACCCCCAACGCAGGCCCGATTTTCTCGTTTCAAGCCAGCTCCCTCTCCCCACCGCCCCCCAGCCAGTTCAGACGCACATGAGCAGGTGGAGCTCTGGGATCTGTGGGGCCCATGGCAAATGTAGGGCCCCTCATGCCGAAATTATTCAGATTTTCAACATCGGGACAGCAGGTCACTGCACGGATCCAAGTTCTCACCCTGGGGCATGCCTGGAAGCCAGCCCTGCCTACAAGGGCCAGGCAGACATGGGGATGTGAGCCAGCAGGGTTCTGAGCGTGGACCTGGGACCCTGTGCCTGCCTCGGGGCCACACCGAGCAGACTCCCAACCCCCGGAGTGGCCCTGGGAGTGGAGCCATGTCTCTATGTCTCCTAGTTTCTCAGAAAGGGTGGAATTTGTTTATTAATGAAACCCTTCTTAAATAGTGGTGACTGATTCCTATTTTAGAAAATTCCCGTGAAGGCAGAATTCAGCACTGCCTCTGGAGGGTGGCACACTCAGTGATGAATGACGTTATGCACTGACATGTGTGGTCACTGGATTGATTTATCTCCTCCACCAGGGCCACCCCAGTGACCCTTTGTGTTCATGGTCTGTCCCAGATCCCAGCGCCGTGCTCGGGACATTGCAGGTGCTGGGATTTCATTCGTTCCTGGGAATACACTGTAGGAAATTTCATGAACCTGCTTTGCCCCCACTTAGCAGTATTGGGCTTCCCTCGTGGCTCAGATGGTAAAGAATCTGCCTGCAATGCAAGAGACTTGGGGTTCAATCCTTGGGTTAGGAAGACCCCCTGGAGAAGGGCATGGCAACCCACTCCAGTATTCTTGCCTGGGGAATCCCATGGAGAGAGGAGCCTGGGGGGCTACAGTCCATGGGGTCGCAAAGACTCAGACATGACTGAGCGACTCACACACACACACCGCCCCCCCAGTAGTAGTGTCACGAGCATCTCCCCTGTTACTAAGTGTGGTCACACGTGTAAAGCCTGAGTCACACTTGCACTCGCTCTGAGTAAAGTAGATTGTTGGTCGCGTGTTCTCCGGGTGGTTGAGGAAAGCAGATAGCCTACCTGAGGACACCTGTCTGTCTTTCTGTCTTCCCAGGATGCCAAGTTTGTGGAGGAACGCAGGAAGCAGCTGCAGACCTACCTGCGCAGCGTCATGAACAAAGTCATCCAGGCAGTCCCTGAGTTTACCGCCAGCCCCCAGAAGGAGACCCTGACCCAGCTGATGCCCTTCTTCGTGTGAGTACCGGTCACGTTCTCCGCCCAGCGCGACCTGCCTGCTCTCCTCTGAGGTTAGGCTGTGGTGCGTGTCTGTGTCCTGGACACCCCAGGAGACCCAAGCGGGCGAGCCCGCCAGTCAGCATTGTTGATTCGAGGCTCCCCCAAGTTCAGAACTCTGCAGTTTCGTCCTTTGGTACATTTTGATCGCAGGAAAGATTGCAGCCTTCTGGTGTCCCGGAGTTAAAGTAGTCTCTCTCAGGCTTTCTCAGGCATGTTGGCAGTGAACCCAAGGAAGCTTCTCGAAGACTCCCACTGGTGCCGACTTAAATTGCTTTCATATTTATATGATTTAAGTATAAGCTGACTTAAAACTAGGTATATAGTCCTTGTTCTTACAGGTCGTATAAAAGTAAAAGCAAAAAATATGTTTACATATCAGACACTTAGAACATTATCACAATTCAGAATCATCGATTAACACAGTGGCCACTGATTTTTATGAAACCAAGTCTTTGCTCACAGTGGTATGCAGACGAAGCTTGGCTTCTCCCAAGCTTGCTACATACCTTGCTGGTGATCCACGTCTGACCCCACCTCCCCCTGACCCAACTTTCCTCGGGTCACATTGCTGGAAAACATCTGTTTGAGCCACACTTCGGGGCTGGTGGGCCTCACTGGTGTCCCTGCCTTATCACTGATTATTCCCCATAGTCCTCATCCATCTCTCATCATATCAAGACATCTGCATGCTGGGATTCAGGGAACCCAAATGATGAAGCTGTCCTTTGTTTTTATTGAGTCTTCAGATGCTAGAGAATATAATTATACTCCACCCTTGAATCACATGGAGGTAAAAAGCGCTAACCTCCCTCCCAGTTGAAAATCTGTGTATAACTTTTCACTGCCCCCAAACCTAGCTGCTCATAACCTACTATTGACCTTACCAATGACATAAACAGTCAGATAACACATATTTTTGGGTGTCTACATTTATTTTATACATTTGTGACATTCCTAGCTTTTTCTTAATTTTTTATTATTTCTAGACTATGCAGTTTATCTGTGAGTTTTTAAATCATTGCAAATCTTCAAAAATCTTTCTAATATGTCTATTGAAAAATATCTGTGTATAAGTGGACCCACTCAGCTCAAACCCATGTTATTCAAGGGTCAACTGTATATGATTTCTAAAATGTTATTGTTGTAGTGGAAACCATAGACCTAAGGATCCATATAGCAAACCCTCGGGCCTCTGAAAGTAGGTTGGGACTTGTCATTTGAGAAACACTGGTTTGCTGGTAATGCAAGAGTTTCCTTTCCCTGGAGCTCTTCAAATGAGTGTGCTGAGGGTTTGCAGATCTGTTTTGTCCTAACGGTGATGCTGTAACTCAAATTGGGGCTTTTTTCTGCTTCTGTGTGTGGGGAGTATCTTTGGCTTCACACTTTCTGGAATTTCCAAGCTGAACTTCCAACCAGACATTGACAGGACTTACCTGCTCCATGAAATTAAAAGATGCTTCCTCCTTGGAAGAAAAGTTATGACCAATCTAGACAGCATATTAAAAAGCAGAGACATTACTTTGCCAACAAAGGCCTGTCTAGTCAAAGCTATGATTTTACCAGTAATCTTGTATGAATGTGAGAGTTGGCCTATAAAAAAAGCTGAGCGCCGAAGAATTGATGTTTTTGAACTGTGTGTTGGAGAAGACTCTTTTGAGAGTCCCTTGGACTGCAAGGAGATCCATCCACTCTATCCTAAAGGAAATCAGTCCTGAATATTCATTGGAAGGACTGATCCTTTAAGCTGAAACTACAATACTTAGATCACCTAATATGAAGAGCTGACTCATTAGAAAAGACCCTGATGCTGGGAAAGATTGAAGGCAGGAGGAGAAGGGCACGACAGAGGATGAGATGGTTGCATGGCATCACCGACTCAATGGACATGAATTTGAGTAAGCTGCGGGAGTTGGTGATGGACAGAGAAGCCTGGCGTGCTGCCTTCCGTGGGGTCACAGAGTCGGACACAGCTAAACGACTAAACTGAACCTGCTCCAGTCTTTGAAACTGAAGCCAAATCCGCTTACTCCCATCCTTCAAATTGTTTTAGGACCTTTATGAGAAGATTCAGTTGTTCTCTGCTATCTCTGATAAAAAAGATGTCTCCCCCTCTACCCCTCCAAATAGAATACACCATATGGTATTTTTCTTTCATTCGATTATTTGTGCTGCTAGGGGCTTGATTTTGAAAACACCATTATAGTTCATGAGAGGAGTTCCCCTTCTTTTCTTTTTAAAAATTGCATGTTGTATTTATTTGGCTGTGCTGGTTCTTAGTTGCAGAATGTGGGATCTCTTAGCTGTGCTGTGTGGGATCCAGTTCCCTGACCAGGCCCCCTGCTTTGGAAGCACAGAGTTTTAGCCACTGGACCATCAGGGAAGCCCCCCTTCTTCTTTTAAAGGCAGCCCCCTGGCCTGTGATGAGGACTGGAAATCAACTTCTCACTGAGTCATGTGTGTTTGGATCAGATTTCCTGGTGAAAATGGAGTCCAAGACGTGGTCCTAAGACCCCAATGTTACGAAAGGCTGCCCACCGCAAGTGTGAGAATAGGCTGCCTCATAGGGGTGAGCTGGTGTCCCCACTGCTGGGGTGGGTAGTTTGAGCAGTTCTGGTGGGGCATGCACCAAACTCCAGCCTGTGGGATTACGACAACCGCCTGTTAACACAGGAGCGTCTAGGCATGTCGTGCAGTCCCAGCCACCCTGGCTGCCATCGATCACAGCTGAGAAATAAAGCTCTGTGCCCAATTAGCATGGAGAATGTGGGATTCCATTTCATGGGCTTTAAAACATACAAAAGAGACTGTGGCAAATGATAACAATATCGACACGAAACTCTGGACTCAACCTTGGTTTCAAATCCAGTTGGTATCAAACAGCTTTCCTTGCAGTTCCACCGCTCACTGCCCTCTCCTCCTCTGTCTTTTTGAAGTCAGATGGTACTGCAGGTTGGAACTTGCAGATCATTTCATGAGGGGGTGACAGAAGGAAAGCCTCACCCTGGTCTGTCCTTGCCAGTGACCTCCATGTAATCATGTCCTGTCTCTGCATCCTTCTAGAAAGCAGCAGGCCTGCTATCAGCTCAGAAGCTCACTCTGAGAGAGTCCCAGTTAAAAAGCGTCTATCTCAACTTAGGAAATAAACCACCGCCCCCCCAAAGCATAATTATTCTTAGAATCTTGACAGATTTCCTTGGGTCTTTCCTTTTTTTCCATTTTATTTATTTATTGGCTGTACTGGGTCTTTGTTGCAGTGTGCGGGCTTCTCTACTTATTGCACACAGGCATCCCTAGTTGTGGTGCACGGACTTAGTTGCCCCTTGGCACATGGGATCTTAGTCCCCTGACCAGGGATCAAACCCACATCCCCTGCATTGGAAGCGGATTCTTTACACTGGTGGTGCTGGTGGTTCAGTTGCTCAGTCATGTCCGACTCTCTGCGACCCCATGGACTGCAGCACACCAGGCTTCCCTGTCCTTCACTATCTCCCAGAGAGAGAGTGTATTCCCACCGGACCACACCTGGCTGAAGTCACACAGTGCTGCCCTGTCCCCGCAGATCCCCCCTCACCCCTGGACACTGAGCCGTCTTCCCTGCCATTTGCGTTAGTGTTTGGCTGGATTTTTTTTACCCACAGTCACTCATGTTACCTGCCTGGCCCGGGAGACACATGAGTTTGCAGTGCTGGCTCTGACCCGCTGCTCAGCCGTGTAGGCTCCAGCTGTGAGGCACCCACGGTGCACTACTCACCCTCTGTGTTCCGAAGTGTGTTCCATGAGCTCATCCACTGCTGAGCCTCGGTCAAGGTGGTCCCTTTCCCATGAGGGGCGGGAGGGTGAAGGGAGGCAGGGAATTAAGCCTACTGGGTAGAATTTGCTCATTTTTCTTCACCAAAACCCTTCAAACGTTCAGGCTTGTGCAGGGCTAGCATCCAGTATTCCATGGCACCTGCTTTTACACACACTTTTCCGCTTCGTCTTTCCTGTTTAACGTGTCAGTATTTCACTGTGTTCTGCAAGGGGCAGCATGACTTCCAAGGATTCTGCCATCTGCACACGTCTAAGAGCTGAGGAATCAGCAGGTTGAATTCTTTTTCTCCAGATCTCTCTGCCTCCCGTTGGCTTCCTGGCTAATGCCAGCAGCAGTCGGAATTAGAAAGTAGGACAGTAGGAAGTGGGCCATTTCTATTCCATTTTGAACCCTGTGTGTGTCTGGCCCACGTGGAGATTAGAGCCTGCCGCCCAAACCGACAAATAGACAACACACCCTAGTGCCCTTTTCCTTTGGTGGGCCCCACGTTATTTGCATCCTCCTGGCGTTTTAGAGGGACAGGCAGACCCCAGGATGTGACACGCGGCAGAGTGAGCAGTTGGGAAATGTCGGGTACTCCTTGGAAGGTGCATTAATGAAGGAGGGGATTGTGGATTCCGAGAAGTCACTCTGCAGAACCGGACCACAGTTCTGTGAAGACTTCAGTGATTTGCGGTGCTGTTGTTTAGCATGTTATTAAAATGTTTTTCTGTAGAGTCCTTCAGCCTTGGGAGATGCACCATGTTCTGCCACTCGGTGGGGGAAGAGGAAGAGATCCGGGGGTGGGAGCGGGAGTAATGTAGGGCACAGCACACACTCCCCACCGGATTCTCGGCAGAAAACATGGTCAATGTTTTCCCCACTCCCCGCCCCCATCTGCTGCCACATTTACTCTCAAAGCTGTTAAATATATTTTTTGCTGAAATAGGAGCTGCCACGTTCTCCCCGCAAGCTGGAGGTTTGACTTGGGGTTGAGATGTTCCAGCCTGGGTGCCGCCAGGATCACGTGGAGCCCAGCAGACACGCTGCTCTGCCAGGGGCCACTCACAGGAGCCACGTGGTTCCTTCCCAGGACCCTGGGCTCACACTGCTTTTGGGGACTGGCCCAAATCTCCCAGGCCAGAAAAGAGTGCAGACCCCATTCAAG